TGGTATCCTTCTCTAAAACCAAATATGTACATGACAAAATCAAGAATACTTCTGAAATAAAAGCTTGAAGTAGATGGAGTAATTATCAATCAAGAAGTGAAATTATAGTTAGATATATATCGAGTTTTGGCGATGTTAAGATGGTACGATAACAAACAATAAGCTAAAAAAAATTGAAGAAGGTCTAAACAATACAATATAGTAAAACAAAAATATTAGCATTGAGACCAAATTAAAAACCTTAGAGACACTTCTAAGACCAATCATGACATATACAGAAACTAGACCAGAAACATCAAAAAGCAACGAACCACGTATGTGGGGATGTTCACAGACTCCCTTATAATATGGTTTTGGGCGATTTTGATCTTCCTGTTGGCTTACAGGTTTAGCCCCAAGCTACTGATCAATATGTTATAGCTTATGGCTGATATGATTATGCTGTTTAGAATTCTTAATTGTGTTTTCAGGTTTAACTTGCTATTACTTCCAATACGAGATCTTAATGTGTTTCTTAATATTTTGATCTTCGTGATAGCGCTGTTGACATGTGACGTGTATGTTATTCTTTTGTCCATTAACACTCCCAAGTATTTTACCAGGTTTGACCATTCTTTGGAAGAAACTGTGGGGATATTCTCCTTTGATGGTTCCTACCACACACGGGGGTCTTTTGTGAGAGCGTCAGAGCCTCGTTTGTGAGAACAGAGTTCACCAACGTGAAGGTGAGGTTGACTTTTGAGTAAGAGTGGCTATTCGAGACGAATCACTACCCCATTAAAAACACCTTAATTAAGTTATTTTTAGTATTTTTTTAAATTATAAGTTTAGTTTGAACTCTTGTTTGTTTGTATGCTAATAAATCTATATAAAATGAAATATAAAAATAAAAACACTTCAATTGACTGAAAGCGGTGCACTGAGGAAGCAAGATTTTCTAAATGAAGGCGAATTATCTCCAGAAGAAACCTCAAATTGGTGTGAGTTCAGTATGTAGTATTTTTATTAATCTAACTTATTGTCTTTATTTATTATCAAAGGTTCTACACTTACAAGTTTAAAGTCTTTATTACAATATTCACTAATTTATTTCACAATATTTATTTATATTTATTTCGAGCTTACAATTTAAACTCGATATTCAAAACTAGAACTAACTCTTTTAATAATAAATTAATAAATACCGTTAATCGAGAATCCCTTCGAATTCGGACGGCGACCCTCTGGTAAAGGATGGAAGGCAGACAAGTTTTTCAGCTGAGCGGCGAACTTACTAGAATTAAAAATAATATGTTTACAGTTTTATGAGTCATATTTATCGTAACAAGTAATTGAAAGGTGATATAAATATGGCCGGACACATAGTAAATTCACAATTGTATTCATATTTAAAACGACACTTACTCGAACCACTTTTCGTACATTGTTGCATGCATTAAGAGTCGAAAGACGTGTATGTTGTTTGCAACTTGCGTTTTTCTGTTACCGATATTTGAAAGGTATGTTACATTCGCCTATTTTCGTGATCGTCGCACTGTTTGCTGAAGCACATGATACATTCTTTTTTATCTTTTTGAGGTAATATTTCTAGGCTCTTTTTGGTTCTCGTATTTCTAAAAATTTTCAATTTTATAGTTGAATCACTCAATTTTATTTTCTGTTTTTTATGAACTAATTTTTCTGACTTTGTATATGTTGGTCATATAATTTATCGTGTGAGCATTTAATTTCCTGTTGATTTTGTTTCATAAGAAACCGCATTGGTTGATAATTTTTCGATATTTCTTCAAAAGCGTCTGAATAAAATATTAAGGCACCGTTTTATAAAACTTAAATATAAATGTATTATTGGTCCTATACAAAAATGTGTAAAAGATATTAAAAAATCTAGTTGATTCATCATTTAAAATCATTTTGGAATCCTCTCGTTATTAAGGAGTGAGACATGAAAGTACAACACATTGAAAATCATTTAAAAAATCAAAATCGATATAATTGTCGTATTCAATATGATCTTAAAATAGCACATTCTAATTTTCGATCTATGTATCTTTTGGTAAGTACTAGGTTGTCTGTCAGTCTTCTGGACCCAAATTCCGCTTAATTTTAACTTATTTGGCGCGAGCAATTTTTTCACCTTGGTTATTTACCAATTACGAGACAGTTTGTTGCAGTTGTTTGAAGTTATTGCCCAAGATCAAGTGATATTTAGATCTAATCCACGCCCCTTTCATTATTTTCGCAACACAGGTGTTCGTTAAAAAATAAGTTTCGGAACTTAAATGCCAGACCTAGTATAAAATAAGAAGCTTGCTTAAAACTATCATTTCCTTGTTTTTAAAAACATATTGTTTAAGGAATAGCTTATTTCTTCAATTAATCCATCGTTTTCCCCCGATGTGACTTTCAATGAACGACGATCTTGGATCTTAGATTGTTTGTGATTAAATATTTTAACCATACTTACGTAAAAATGACCTAGTGCTAACACACTCGCAAAGAATGGTAGATCAAAAGGCAAAGATCAATAGATCAAATGGCCGATGGTAGAGCTGCCATCCAGCAGAGTTTTTTCCATCTGCTTGGATCTGCCATCCAAATTTTTCTGAAGATTTCTTCCTCTTTTTGAAATATTCGTAAATAAACCTTATAACACTTATTCTGATGCTTGATATGTTACTCAAAATCACCAATATTTAACACACTACTTGGAGGTCCCCTTCTAGCCGGTGGCAAAGGGTACAGATAAGAAACTCTGTTGAATCATGCTAGTGCTGTACACCTAAAATATTTATTATTTTACGAAGTATAATTAAATCATGATACTGTCAATATTGCCCTTTAATTATAAATTATTTTTGTTGCTTAATATGACATGTTAAAAACTTTTGTATACACTTACGTACTTTACGACATAAGTGTAAAGTAAATTATTACAGCTTTAAGTAAATTAAAATTGACTTTTTTCTGTTCTTCATTAATCTATATTTGGTTATAGAAATAAATGATGCGCCCATGTCTGGTAATATGATATTATTCTTTTAAGGTTTGTCACCAACTAGTTTTTTGGGTGTTTCAACTGACTTTATAAATACTATACCTTGTAAACACGAAGAATCCAAAGGGTGGTGAAACACGATGTGTAGAATTACATACAGGGTAAAGTTTTAAAAATACTAGATATGTCCCAAAAAAATCAGACCGTTCATAATTTCGAGTCAAAATGTTTAAGCGCTCTCAACTATCAACGGGAAAAATTTCTCACAGAAGACCAGTCAAAGATGCGCTTAGAAGTTGCTCTAGACACCTGCAAAATTGTTTGGCGAGACGCGTGTTTACGGTTATGATTCATAAGCAAAAACCAGCCTTCTCAATGGAAGGCCTATCCGCGATGGTGTTGTGTATCATGAAGAGGCTTCAAGAAGTAGATAATCAACAAAGTATTTTACGTCCAAGTTCTAAAAATTGCGTTACGCACAAAGCAGAATCATCACGATAATGCGCTCACACATTTATCAATCCTTGTGCAACAATTTTTGACACACACAAGGTTACATTCATCTAGTGTCCATACATTTCCGACAAAGCACACGCTATTTTTTCGTGTTTTCAAGACTGGAAATGCTGCTTATAAAGCAACGTTTCGTCCACATAATAACAATTCAAACGGATGCGATGACGACACTGAGGACTGAAGAAACTTAATTTCATAAATACTTTAGTGACTTGAACACCGATCGAAAATTATCGAATCTTCGAATATTTTTATCGAATGTTCTTGGTGCTCAATATGTCCAGGAATTTTTTAGTATAAAATGGTTTTAAATCTAAACGGGTTTAATTTCATATATACCTAGGTACTCTTCTATCTTCTAGATTTGCATTAATTTTTTGTACGGAAAAGTTTTCTCTCCTTTTTTATCTCTATCCTTCGTAAGGATGTCGTGACGTTATGGCATTCGATGTATGGTTGTTATCGATTCTTCTCTCTCCTGGACGTGGTGTGCTGCATCAGACAGAAAGTAACCGGTGGTGCTCTTTATTTGGTCTGACCATCGGAGTGTCGATTTTACTCGGGTTCTCCTATAATCTATTTTGCCTTCAACTACTAATCTATCCACACCGTCCTTTCTTCTGGCTATGTGTCCAAAATACCTCAATATAGTGGATGATGATTATGGTAAGCCTAGTGCTAATGTCAAGGTTAATATTGAGATATTTGTACTCTGCAGGGTACATAATGTGTGTTTAATTCTACGATAAACCCACATTTCAAAGGAGTTAGTCGGACTTTTCTATGGTCCAAGTTTCTGCAGCGTAGGTAGCGATAGGAAAGATAAGCGCCCGTACCAGGCGCAGTTTCGTGTTCTTAGTTATGGCCGTATCTTTCTAGATTTTAGTAAAGTTGACCGTTGCTTATCTGGCCATTTTGAGGCGTCGACGTATTTCTTCTTCGCATCCACCATGACTAACGTAAGATACACGTTATTGTTAAAAATGTCTAAGTACGCATGACCTTGTGATTTTGAAGTTATACCAACTATAACTAGGATTTTTATCCTAGCGTGTACTATTTTCATGCAACAACCAAGTTATGATATACTATTATCTTTAAAAAACTTACCTGTCAAATTTAAGCTGTTAAAATCAATAAGAATTCACAAAAAAATATCAATATCGTAACGTGATCAATACGTGTGCCCTAACAGTACAGGAGCTAAACAGATACTGTTAGAAATTACAACCCGTTCTTCTATAATGTACAAATAAACAAATATCTGGTTTATTTTTCAACCAGTGTGCCTCTATAAACAGTGTTTTGTGTTAAACGGTTAATATTTAAACCACTAACTGTTAAGGACGCATTTTAATTTCTGTCTGGTCGAAATATTGACCAGTACCCTATAAAGGGTTAAACGTATATGTATTTATATGCAAATTGTATTTTTACAGGACTAATTCAATTTATTTTTTTTTTAATGTCATTTTGTTTCTTTTAGGTCTCTTCCTGTTCCAAGGCGGCACACGCCTTATTTTGGTCAACCAGATTATCGAATCTATGAACTTAATAAAAGGCTGCAGCAGAGAACTGAGGTAGTGAGTATTTTTTCAAATGTCCAATAAATTTTAATTTTATCACTTAAGTATCGATTTTATGTTCGTTTTTTTTTATTTATTGTTTAAATTTTAAAATGGGATTATTAACGAGATTTTTTTTTTCTAACGGGTATTCTCAAATTGAAGTTAATTTTATGTAATCAAATGAACTATCATTCAATAAAGTCGTCCCAGGGATGCACCTGAAAAATATTGACAATATCATTATAAAATCATCCCCAATATATGCAAGAATTGTCAATACGAATGAGGCAGATAAAATTAAATAATTAGAAGATTTTTTTATTATCAAGTAACAATAATTTTTTGAATTTGTATTGTGAGAACGATTTCCAAAGTGGAAATCGTAATGTCAAAATAAACGTTTCTACTGAAATTGTGGCTAATTCTCATTAAAGATAGTAAAACTATTAAAATGTCACAAGAAAATAGCTTCAGAACAATATTAAATTTTGAACTACGTACATATACACACACGTCTGTCATTAATAATAAATATTAAAATTAGAAGATCAACGATTTTGAAAATTCATAAGACCATATTAGAAGACAGAAAATATCACTCGTCAAAAGACAGACAAAAATATAAAATAATATTGGCAACGTAACTACCCTTTAGTGTCATACCGAAAAGTGTTATCGTTCATAGTATTAATTTAATGATTATATGAAGGGTATAGAAGCAAAATCCGCCAAGTCACATCTATCAAAATTTTCAGGAAACGTGAAAAACTATTACAGAGGACTCCTGTGATATTTTGAGCTTTCTCTTTTATTTACTTATATTCTAGAATAATGTTTTATTAGAAGAATATAAATTAAAAAATATTTGAGCTTCAGTTTTAGTGCAAAATTGGTTTTATTTATGGACATGGTGGAATTTGGAACAAAATTTAGCAACTTTGGATTGGAAATCCCGAAAAATTCGGAACAACTTGCTTTTTTAAACTTCACTTAATAAATTATTTTAAACATTAGATTCTTATTACTTAAAACATATTTATTTGTTGTAAACATAACATAAATTCACATAACTTATTTGTCAATAGTTGTGAATCACTCTCGTCATTATTTAGAATAACGAATGTATGGCATCTTTATATCCTTGAAATCGGAATTTTCTTGCCAATCAGTTCCATAGTGCGTTTCTGTTAGGCAACGCTATGGGCCTTCTTTTTGTCACTTATTCTGTCAGCTTTAAATTTGTCAGGATTACCTCCTTCTTATCATGTCACTTCAAAATCCTAAAGCGTTTGCACTGTTGAAATTGAAAGTGCCAAGCTCCTGGCGGTTTAATAACTTCTGATATTGAGGTTTTCCAATCAAACGCGTCCCAATCTTCGACTAATTTATAGATGGTGTCCTTTTTTTCTATTATAAGCTATATTTAGTGGTCTGGATTCGTTGTAATTTCTGTTTTTTTAATTTTTCCTTCAGTTGTACCAAAAACTCTATCTGACGGCATAAAACTGTCCTACATCTGAGAATATTAGTTCAATACAGCGAATATTAGCAGGCGCATTTTTATGGAGAAAACTTTGCAAGCATACTGATCATTGTAATATTTTTATTTTGACCTGTCTCTTTTGCTTATGTCTCTTTGCTTGTGTAATAAAATAATGACTGCATTTTTCCATTGAGTAGGAGTTTTTCCTTGGTAGATGCACTCGGTGAAAAGCTTGGTTAATGCTTAGATAATTTTATTCTCAGCTAGTTTGATCGCTTCGCTTTGTTACTTTTCATTTCTAAAAGTGCCGTTTTGATTTCGTATTTGAGTTATTTCTAGCATTAATTCTGATTCTTGGTTTGTGATTTTGGGCAGTATTTTTGTTTGTATTTTGTACATATTTTTGTTATCTGTATTTCGCCTCTTAAACTTTTGTTTTGTTGAATTATTTTACCTATTTCTCTCATATTGTTTTCTCTTACGTCTTTGCGGATTGACCGGTGGATATATTTATTTAATTTCTCCATTGTTGTGTAGTTGGAGCTGCATTTTTCTGTCAACTGTCATATTTTACCCATTAGCTCTTTGGTATTTTGGCTTAGTTTTTCTTTATGGGCCATAACGGTCGGGCAGTACTCCCTTTTTGTTTCTTTAAGAGCCTTCTTTATGCCGTCATTTGCTTGATCTACATTTTCTATTTCATCTTGCAAGTCTTGTACATGTCTGGTGAGTGTATCTTCATACAGGTAGTTGATTTCTGGAGGAATCCATTTCTTTTTTCTCGTTTTTAGGATCATATATGCTCTTTCCAATTTGACATTTAATACTATCTTAGATCGGAATAATCTGTGGTCGCTTCCTGTTAAAAATTTGTTGAGTACTTCGATGTCTTTAATTATTTCCTTTCTGTTTGATCGGATCATGACATCTTGACATCTTTTTCATTTTTGAAACTGCCACCTATGCTGATCCATTTCCATTTACGCTGAGATTTTTTGTCGAAAAAATAGTTCATCATGCTTAAATTTTCCTGGTGTAAGAAGTTCAGCAATCTTTGTCCTCGTACATTTCTTTCGCCATATCCATACTTAGTCATTGCTACTTCTGCGTCTTCTTTAAACCCCATTTTCGCATTAAAGTCGCCCATAATTATTGTGTAATAGGCTGGTGTGGCATGTAACGTTGTTTATAAGTCCTCATAAAATTCTTCAATTTCTTTATCCGAGTGGGTAGTTGTTGAAGCAAATATCTGGATTACCTTAAATTATATCTTGCATTTAGTTTGAAGATGAGATATACAATCCTGGAGCTTATGCTGATAATTTCAACTATATTTTGTGCGTGCTTTCTATGCATAATAAATATTACTCCACCATTTGAAGTGTCTTCTTTACCTCTAAAATGAAATACGTGTCCTAATTTAAGAGTAATTTGGTCTTCTCCTCTTCGTCTTATTTCGGTAAGGGCGGTGATATCCCATTTTATTCTTTTCAGCTCTTCCTCCAGTTCCATCATCTTCTGGTCTGATACAAGAGTTCTAACTTTGTATGAAGTATTATGCATTTGTCGCTCTTTGTAGTAGCCTGATTTTTTCCGGGGATTCTTAGCACCCTCTGCTGCAAACCTATTCCAAACGCTATCTTGGTTGGGGATGTTGGAGTGGTTGGAGACTAAGGACCGTTCAGTAGTTTCTTCTTTCATGGAAAATAACTTTTGGGGCTTTAAGCCATTAAAACGCCACGCTTGGCTATTGCGTGTTGGTTTGAAACATCAGATCACCTTATAGAAAACACAACCTAATACCATTGTTTAAAAAATAATGACTTTTTATAGCACTCTTTTTTAAACAATGGTGATACCATAGAATTCTATGATTTAAGGATGTTTCTAGCGAAGCGGATCACTGTGCTGAAACTTGGGACGAAATGCTATCAGGCACGGCAGTGTGTCCATACGGGTTCAGGGCTATAATCTCACAGAGTTTACAGGCTCCCTGGGGCAGCGCTTAGGCAAGACTTTTCCCTCTGTTCCATGCACCTGTGATGGTGTTATACTTTGGGTTTGGGAAGCGTATGTGTATTTTGTGTTTGGGTGTGTGTATTTGTGTGTTTATGTTTGAGTGTGTGTCATGTTCAGTCACTAAATCTACACTCTAGATAGTTTGCAGCCCCTATATCATAGTTGATATAGCTCTAAACGAGTATTACACCATAAATGTAAGAACAGTCGTGTTATATTTTACATCGCCAAGCTCTTATTGCGAACAAAATTCCATCTGATTTAAATAGTTGAAATACAGTTCTTGATCAGGGCGTATAAATTATCAACTATCTCAAATCTCCATCAGCAATGGCTAATGAAATTGGCTTATCTAGCCCATTTGTTGAATAAACTTAACTGAGTCGCCAAATCCCCACAGAGAGAAACCACTAATACGTTCACAGTGGGAACAATTACGAACAAAAAAAATACAAATGTTACCTCAAACTTAATTTCTCAGAAAATTAGAAGTATATAAAAAGCTTTAATTTGAGCTGTGATACATTAAATTTGACCCCATGGTTGATGCAAAATTAATGATTGAATTCCAAAAATGTGAATTTTTCGCCATTATTAAATTTTAAAATAACTTCTTATAAACTGCAAAAATTGTAAACTGTAAAAATAAAGATGATTAAGAGGAATTTAAAAAGAAATGTTAATGGTCACTAAAGTAGCAAAAAAAAATCGCCAATGTTCACAAAACAATCGCAGCAAAAAAAATATCGCCAATGTTCACAAAATTTTATGCTGCTCAGATAAAAAAAAGAAACATTGGTCCATATTTAATGAACATGTGACGAGTTGTTCCGAGCACCGCGAATTTGAAGTGCGCTGGGCCGACAGGAGAACCAGCCAAAACTGAGCGGATTCGATTACTCCAAAAAACAGTCAACTTTACTCATGTTTTTTATTATAAAAAGAGGTTTTTTGACAATAAAAATGATATGCTCATAAAATATAGGCCTTAAACTATTAAATGACACCAATTTTAGTTCGTAATTGTTATAAACACAGCAGCTGTGATTTTTAAACAAATTAAGCTAACTCCACTTCTATTGATCGTAGAAAACTATTTTTTTTTAATATTCATCTTGACTTCAGCTAAAAGCATCAAACCCTCTAAGGACGAGTGTGACGTTTTCGTATCGTTCCAATCAAAAACGATTTGTAGCCAAAGCCTAATCTCATTGATGCCGAAAGCGAATTCGTAATACTACGCCTCATACTGAAACAGTTACTGCGACACACTCCGGCCAATTTTTCAACCGCATGCTTCTCGAAACAGATTAGGATACAAGTTGGCTGATGCTAACAACTAACAGATAACTGTAAATTTGATTTCGACAAAATCAGTGAATGTTTACCGGGAAAGAATCTGTAAAATAGATATTAGCGAGAACGTTCTGTGTAGTATATACGGATAGTTCATACTTATCACTATAAACACTCGTAAATTGAAGATTGATGAACACGTGTTGTAAACGTTACG